AGAGGTGGCACACAGGTAAGGTTTCCTCCAAGGAGTTACTCAGGTGGTGTTGGTGCCCAGCCCGTTCAGTGGTGGCAGCCACTGGTCCCGAGCCTGACCTCTTCTCCCAGCCCATCTGTGCCCCAGAGAGCACGGTGCCTGCTCTGGCCACTGGGGTCTTCTTACCTGCTGCCCCCCTACCCTGTGCCTTGTGCTTTGGCAAGACCCGTGCCTGGTGTCCTCAGCCCAGCTACTGTGATGGCATGTGGCCCTGGTCAGCAGGCAGCCCTGCACTGGCCACTCGTCCAGCAGCTTGTCTTGTCCTCTCCTCAGATCCAGAAGTGGGGCAGCGTTGAGTGGGCGCACGACTACGAGCTGCAGGAGCTGCGGGCCCGCACCGCTGCCGGCAGCCTCTTTGTTCATCTCTGCTCTGAAAGCACCACGGTCAAGCACAGGCTCCTGCAGGACTGAGGCCTGGGCAGCACACGCCTAGCAGGACAGATGCGGTACAGCCACAGTTCTTCTAGCCTACAGGACCTGTGGGACTCCCTTGACACGCAGGGGCTCCCCCGACCTGTGGGGCTCCCCTACTCCGTGGGGCTCCTCTGGCCTCTGGGGCTTGGCCTTGCTCAGCATTGCCCTGAGACTATCCCCAGGACACAGTGCAGCTGTCTGGAGGTCAGCCTGATTCCAACCCGGGTGTCTCTGGGCTGGCCAGCAGTGAAGGAGAGGGATGAGTTGTACAAGTGACTTGTTCTTGACCCTGATTTTATTAAACATTTCCTCACCCTGGAAATATGTTTTCATGTGCACCTCTACATTCTCCATTCTTGTTTTGTCTGGGTTTCACCAAGGTTAAACAGCTTGTCTCCCATGGCACGTTTTGATATCTGCTGCCTGTGGTTGGGAACCTCACGCTGGGGAAACAGTCCTGTCATCCACAGACAGCTCTATTTGTGTTCTTCAGTCCTCAACCTGAGGGCTTTTTTTTTTTTTTGCTGGTTTTTAATCAGACGATCTTTTGAAAGTGAGCCCTTCTTGGTCTAAGCTGGTTGTTCCTACTGTTCCAAAAAAAAAAAAAAAAGATTTACTCTTGAAAATAGAAACTATAAGTTATTTCTGGGTTAAAAGCCCAGACAGGCCAGGCTCAGTGGCTTAGCCTGTAATCCCAGCACTTTGGAAGGCCGAGGCAATTGGATTGCCTGACCCCGCAGGTTCAAGACCAGCCCAGGCAACTTGGTGGGACCTCGTCTCTACAATAAGTAAAATAATTTTAAAAAATTAGCTGGGTATGGTAGCCTGCCCCTGTAGTTCTGGCTACTTGGAAGGCTGAGGTAGAAGGATCACCTGAGCCCAGCAGGTCGATGCTGGGATGGCCGTGAGTGTGCCACTGCGCTCCACCCTGGGTGGCAGAGTGAGACTCCAACTCAAACAAAAACAAAAACAAAAAAACTCAGACAGGCTTGGCAAGTTCACTGACATGAATGTTTCTGCTCATATTCCTCCTGGTAGTCCTGAGATTGCTCCCAACATGGCCCGTTCTACTGGAGACCAGGCCCAGTGACATGGCAGTAGGGAGAGTGTGTTCTCAGGCAGCAGAGGCCTTCTTGGCCCCGTCTGCTTGCAAGCCTGAGTAAGGAAATGGCATCATTCCTTGCCCACAGGGCACTGACCACTCTGCTCACGGGTGCTTCTCCATGCTCCCCATGTACTGTCTCCTTGAGCACTCTGAGTGAGGAGGTACTGTCACAGACAAGGCCCAGGCTGCAGGGGGCACGGTGGAGCTGGGATGCCTAGCCTGCTCTCCACATTTGGTGGGTCCCCAGGTCCCTGCAGCCAAGTTCTGAGCCAGAGGGAGCTTTGGCCTCCACCTTGGACCAGCCCAGGCCCTGGCACCATGGTCCTGCTTCCCTGCTCCTCAGCTCCCAGAAGAGCAGTGCTCTTGGCACACACCACTCTCCCTTTGCCTGTGGCCGGCAGCCTGCCCGGGCACAGCAGAGGAAATGGCACTGGCATACGTCTGATGTTGTGCCACAGCCAAGAGTCTAGCCGATGCCTTCCCCCTTGGGAGTTGCTCTTGTTGACTGGCCGGGGACCTGCTGTTCACTTTTATCTTTTTCTTCTGGTCATACATGAACATGAATTCTGATTATTTTATTTTATTTTATCTTATTTTGAATAATAGGGGAAAGGTGGCTGGGCACAGTGGCTCACACCTGTAATCCCAGCACTTTGGGAGGCCAAGGCAGGAGGACAGGTTGAGCCCAGGAGTTCGAGACCAGCCTGGGCAACAGAGCGAGACCTTATCTCTACAAAAAAAAAAAAAAAATTAGCTGGGCATGGCAACACGTGCCTGTAGTCCCAGCTACTCCGGGGGGTTGAGGCAGAAGGGATCTCCTGAGCCCAGCAGGTCAAGGCTGTGGTGAACTGTGATTGTGCCATTGCACTCTAGCCTGGGAAACAGATTGAGAACTCTGACTCAAAAAAAAAAAAAAAAAATCAAGAATAAGGGAAAGGTGACATGAGTCCTTTATTTTTCTCTACATTTGGAAATTCTTCCAGGGATAGGGAACAAATGGTGTTAGGAGAGTCGTAGGTTGAGAAATTCCCAGTAACTCTCCTGAGGCAGTCAGCAAAGTGTGTACACTTTCTCCTCCCTCCGATTGGGGCTTGTGCTGTGCTGTGAGAGAGATCCCGCAGCTGATCCACACCTAATCTAGAATGTCGCCCCATTCCAGGTTGTCCAGCTCACTCTGTATGTGGTCGATGTACTGATTAATCTCCTTCACTCGCTTGCGGTTCCTCATGATCTCATCCCTGTGAACCTGTGGTGTGAAACCAAAGCCCATTCCTTAAATCAGATAATTGGCTCATGGCTTTTGCGGAGTCCAGGGTGAAGGAAAGGAAAATAGTTCTCTGAGGCCTGCATGGCCCTCGTCGATTGCAGAGCCTCCCTGGCTTCTGCTGATCTTATATATTTGAGGCAGGAGGTAGGAAAATGATGAAGCACGTGGATTTTAAAGCTTCTGGGCAACATCAAGTCTTCAGTGTGGAATTCTACAACCCTTAATTTTATTTCTTCCTTCATTTCACGTCTTAATGAAAATACTGTATACCACCCTGGGAAGGTTTCTACACTCTCTGGCTGGTAGTTAGGAAAACTGGTACCGTCTGCTAGGATGGGTCAGCGTTTACTCACCTTGTCTATTAAGTGTGTGCACCAAGAGTTGATCCTGGTCACCAGCTCGTCCTCACGGTTGTCAATCTTCAGGAGGTGAATGTCATGCGATGCCCCAACAGCATTCACAACTGTATCTTTGTCAACAAAAAGCTGGTGAGTGAGAAGGATCAGGTGAAATCTCATGTGTCATTATGCCCTGAGCACAAAGTCAGAGAGCTGAATAGAAAAGGAGCCCCAGAAGTCCCCTGACTGTGCAGACCACGCCCGTGGAGAGCCCCGCTTTGTGTCAGCTCGTCTGTGACAGCCCCCTCCCTGACCCGAGTGGCGCAGGTGTCGTGGGGAAAAGGGCCGGCCAGGGCGTTACTCTGCAGTCCTTGCAGGGAGCATGTTTCCCCCGGGCAGAAGGCAGATGGCCACCCAGGGGTGACCTCACCCGGGACATCTGTTCTCACAATGCTTCTCCCTCGGCTGCTCTCAAGTCTGACTTGCCCAAACCTCTGCCAGCAAGTGGGAAGCGTGAGGCTGGCTGAGGTCTCAAGTCTGCTCCGAGAACAGCTGGCCTGCCAGCCAATGGGTGTTCACCCCTCAGCAGTCTCTCTACTGCCATTCATGGCAACAAAATTGAACCTTGGATTCTGTCTGGGGTTCCTTTTGCCTTCTCTTGCTCCTGACTCTGTTTGCTGTCTTGGAAGTTGCTAAAAACACATCCTCTGGCTGGCCCTAGGTGTTGACACTGGCTTTTGTGTACCTGGAATGGTGGAAGTTGAGTGGAGACATTTCCCAGAGCAGGGAAAGGTGCTGCAGCACCTAGGAAGCACCTGATTCCCCCTTGAAGCAGAAGTACTCGTAAGGCAGAGGACAGCAATTGGAATGTAGACTTGGGTTTTTTTCTTTCCTATGGTAGCGGTTAACTTAATAGTTTCCAAAATATGTCTGTGGAATCTTGAGCTGTTAGTATTTCTGCAAAAGAGGTATTCCTTGGTCAAATACATTTGGAAAAGCCAGCACATCCTAGGCTCCTCCTGAAGATTCACAGGGCACAAGGTCTTATTCTGAAGATCTGCAAAGGCCTGTGGAAAATTTTCAACTCTGTCACTTGGTTTTCCAATTTATTTGACCACAGACTTCTTTTCAGAGTAATGCCTGTTAATGTCTTGTGGGATGCTGGACCCCATGTGAGAAAAGCCAGGTTAGCTGATGTGCTGATGTGGGGAATGGGGTGTCTGGGGGACCAACCGGCTCAGTCACATGGGAGAAATGACAAGAAGTTCTTTCCCTGTGCATACAAGGTCCCAGACAAAGCTCTGGGAAGGGCTTAAAGATGCGTAAAGGAGTGGGTGTCCTGGTTTAGACATAGTCACAACCACAACATCAACCCATCATGAAAAAGTTCTCATCCTTCACTCTGAAAAGTGGGTCATAGTGGATCTCCTGAGCCAGGCAGAGAAATCATCCCCCCCCCACCACCAGAGTCTCAATGTATAGAAAACAGCTTCAGAAGCTGTGAGAAGCAACAAAAATTGGGACGCTTGCTTAAAAGCATATGAGGTTAAAACGTGGTAGCTCATGCCTGTAATCCTAGCACTTTGGGAGGCTGAGGTAGGAGGATCCCTCGATGCCAGGAGTTCAAGACCCAGCCTAGGCAACAGAGCATGAGATTCCCATCTCTTAAAAAAAACCAAACAACTGCAGTTAGAGTTGGTTATGAAAAATGGTATGACCTTTGCAAAATACAAATTAAAAAAAAAGGAAATCCAAGCTGGATTCGGTGGCTCAGCCTGTAATCCCAGCACTTTGGGAGGCTGAGGTGAGTGGATTGCCTGAGCCCGCGGGTTCAAGACCTGCCTGGGCAACTTGGGGAGACCTCATCTCTACAATAAATCTAAATGAGCTGGGCGTGGTAGCGCGCACCTGTAGTTCCAGCTACTTGGAAGGCTGAGGCGGAAGGATCGCCGGAGCTCAGGAGGTCGAGGCTGCGGTGGCTGGGAGCGGCCACTGCACTCCAGTCGGGGCGACTGAGTGAGACTCCAACTCAAAAAAAAAAGGAAATCTGGTTTAAAGAAATTATTTAAAAATGCAAGTAATAAGTTGTTTCTGGAATTCAGATGGCCTAAAGTGGTGGCTATTTCAAATTTCCCTCTTAATATAGTTTTTATGGGTAGCGTATTCTGGATCCCCTCTTGTTTCTGTGGGTTGGAAGCACCAGGGCAGAGGCATGGACTGTGCTAAGCCCATGAGAAACGTTTTTTTTGAGTTAGGGGTCGCACTCTGTTGCCCAGGCTGGAGTACAGTGGCGCATTCACACCTTACTATAGCCTTGACCTCCCAGGTCCAGCCAATCCTTCCACCTCAGCCTCCCCACATAGCTGGGACTATAGGTGTGTGCCACTACACCTAGCAAATTTTTTGATTTTTTGTAGAGATGAAGTCTCACTATATTACCTAGGCTAAAGATACGTTTCTTTCAAAATGTCTTTTTTTTTTAACGTTGGCATTTCAAAAAAATTTACAGTTAGTAATTGCAGCTGGGTGCAGTAGCTCATGCCTGTAATCCCAGCACTTTGGGAGGCTGAGGGGGGAGGATTGCTTGAGCCCAAAAGTTTGAGACCAGTCTAGATAATACAGCGAGTGCAGTGAGCCAGGATCCACCACTGGCTGGACTATTCTAGCCTGGGTGACAGAGTGAGACCCTGCCTCAAAAAAAGTAATTGCAAATAGTAACTGTACATATTCATAATGTTTCAATACATATAATGTATAATGATCACATTAGGGGAATTGGCATATCCATCATCTCAAACATCTATCATTTCTTTGTGTTGAAATGTTCAATATTCTCCTTCTAGCTATTTGAAACTTATGTTATTGTTAACTATCGTCATCGTACAGTGCTAAAGGACACTAGAATAGCTCTCCCTGTCCCCCTTCTCACTATCCTTCCTTCCCAACCTCTAGTAACTTCTGTTCTACTGTTCACTTCTATGACATCAACTTTTTTAGCATCCACACATGAGACATGAGAACGTTCTCCAATTTTACCCATGTTGCCATGAATGACAGGATTTCATCATTTTGTATGGCTGAATAGTATTTCATTGTGTATATATACCATGTTTTTCTTTTCTTCTCTCTCTCTCTCTTTTTTTTTTGAGTCAGGGTCTCACTCTGTTGCCCAGACTGGAGTGCAGTGACATGATCACGATGATCATGGTTCATGGCAGCCTCAACCCCTGGGCTTAGGCACTTCAGCATCCCAAGTAGCTGGGACTACAGGTGTGTGCCATCACCTCTGGCTTTTTTTTTTTTTTTTGTAGAGGCCAGGTTTCATGGCGTTGCCCAGGCTAGTCTCGAACTTCTGGACTCAAGCAACTTGCTTGCCTTGGCCTCCCAAAGTGCTGGAATTACAGGCGTGAGCCACTGTGCCCGGTCTGTATACATGTTTTTTTTAAATCCATTCATCTGTTGTTGGACACCTAGGTTGGCTCCATATCTTGGATATTGTGAATATTGCTGCAGTAAATGTGGGGGTGCCGATATCTCTTCGATATACTGATTTCCTTTTCTTTGGGTAAATGCCCAGTGTGGGGTTGCTGGCTCATATGGTAGTTTTATTTGTAGATTTTTGAGTAACTGCTATACAGTTCTCCATAGTGGCTGTGATAGTTTGTATTCCCACAACAGGGTGTAAGAGTTCCTTTTTTTCTACATCCTAGTCAGCATTTGTTATTTTTTTATCTTTTTAATAATAGCCTTCCTAACTGGTGAGATGGTACCTCTCTGTGGTTTTGATTTGCATTTCCCTGATGACTAGTGGTGCTGAGCAATTTTCATGTATTTGTTGACCAGTTGTGTGTCTTCTCTTAAGAAGTGTCTGTTCAGACCATTTGCCCATTTTTTAATTGAAAAAATTTTTTTTGGCTGTTGAGATGTTTGAGTTCCTTTTATATTCTGGATAATAATCCCTCATCAAATGAATAGTTTGCAAATGTTTTTTTCCCCATTGTATAGGGTGTCTTTTCACTCTGTTGATTGTTTCCTTTGTTGTACAGAAGCTTAGTAGTTTGATATATTTCCACTTGTTTATTTGTTGTTTTGTCACCTGTGCATTGAGCTCTTATTCATAAAATATTTTCTCAGACCAATGTCCTGAAGCATTTCCCATTTTCTTCTAGTAGCTTTAGTTTGGGGTCTTACATTTAGGTCTTGGATCCACTTCAGTTGATTTTTTGTATAGGATGAGATGTGAGGGTCTAATTTCACTCTTCTGCATGTGGCTATCCAGTTTTCCCAGCACCCTTTAATAAAGAAACTGTCCTTTCCCCAATGAGTGTTCTTGGCACTTTTGTCAAAAATCAGTTGACTGTAAATATGTGGATTAATTTCTGGGTTTTGTATTCTGTTCCATTGGTCTGTGTGTCTGTTTTTATGTCTTTACCATGCTGTTTTGGATCCTACAGCTTTGTAGTATATTTTGAAGTTTAGTAGTACGATGCCTCCAGCTTTGTTCTGTTTGCTCAGGATTACTTTGGCTCTTTGGGGTCTTAAAATTTCCATACAAATTTTAGGATTTTCTGTTTCTCTGAAGAATGTTAATGTTATTTTGATGGGGATTGCGTTGCATCTATAGACTTCTTTGGGTAGTAACAAAGAGACTTTTGCAAAGGGTGCAGCTGGTGTCCCTCCCGGGACCACTGTGTGACTTGAAGATTTGCTGTCCTGTGGCATGTGGGATCAGATCACTCTGTCATGCTTTCCCAGGGTACCCAATGACCCTGCATCTTCCTCCACCACAGAAAAAGGAACAGCTTGGCCTGATGGGACAGGGACCTGTGCCAAGGCAGAACCTCCTGGTGCCAGTCAGAATCTCATCACAGTCATCCCATCCACAGCCTGCTGGCTTGGCTCAGACCCACTGTCACTTGAGCAGACTCTCTGGGGACTTGCAAGGCCTCCCCTGGCCTGGGCCTGAGCATTCACCCTGTCCTCACAGCTGGAAACCCACATGGATGTTCAGACACCCGGGCAGCATGTCTGACCTCCCAGCTACCTCTGAGATGGGCAGCTGTGGCTGCCAGTCCTGCTCAGAGCCCCTTCCTCACTGCCAGCCAGGCTGTCTCCTCAGCGTGTATTTTCTGCTTTTCCTCTCAAAGCTGGAAGGACTGGAAAATGCAGACATTGGACAGATTTGTATGTATGTATGTAAGTATGGCATGAGCTGACAACAGTCACTCAACGGAATGAGAGGACTTTTAGAGATAATTACATCAGTGTGACTCATCATGATATACTCATTGATAATTAGGTAACAAAATCCATATTTTTTTCACCCAAGGCCCTAGTCCCTTCTGTAAACATCCCCATCTTGTGATATGCCTGGTAGACATTTTATCAAAGGCTTTGGCAAACTGCCTGGGTTCAAATCACAACTCTATCACCTATAAGCTGTGTGTCCTTGGGCAGGTTATCCTAAGTTCTGTGCCTCGGTTTCCTTATCTGTAAAAGGGAACCATGATGGTGCCTACTTTACAGTGTTGTTGTGAGGATTAAATGAGCAAATACATGTCCAGAGCTTCTCAGAGGGCTGGCCCAGGCAATGTCAACTATTTGTTGGTATTATTATTTCTTATAGTCAGGGCATAATTGTCCCTGAGAACAACAGACTGCCTTTTGTTGCTTAAATGTAAGGAAATGAAGCAATGGTGTAAGGTCCTGGAGATGTCTCCAGACGTTCCCAAGGGGATGGAGTCTCCCACTGGCCTTCCCACTGGGAAGGGGCCCTAGTAGCCTTTGCTGGCTGTCCCCTGTGAGGCCTCGAGGATGGCTCTCTATGCCAGTCTTGCCAGTGAGCCCAAGAGAGTCCCTTAGCTCAGGGCAGAGCCCACTGGCCTAGTGCCTGGGCCCATGTAGACCTCATTGGGTCTACCATAATGGGGACAGCTCAGCTCTATGGTAAGAATCAGGCTCTCCATCTGCTGGACTAGAGTCTGAATCCAGACTCCAGTCCTTACAAGCTATGTTATCTTGGGCAGTTTACTTAACCTCTCTGAGACCCAGTCTTACTCATTGTTCTCATCTGTAAACTGGGCATGACAAGAGTACATCCTTTGAAGGGTCCTTTAATGAAGTAAGTGAGATCATGTGTGACCGTCAGGCCTAGACAGGGCAACCCCTCACTGGAACTCTGCATGGCTGCCACTCTGATCAGGGGTGCTATGTGTTTCTGGAGCCACAGGAACAGATGTCAGATGACACCAGGCACAGCCAGCTGGGCAGGCGGGAGGGCTGGCTGCTGGAAGCACCAGTCCAGCCTGCTTCTCTGCCATCGGGCTCTGAGACGCTTTTTCTGTGTGTCCCAGTCATTAAGGAGGGAGCATGTTTTAGTCCGTGTCTACTGGGTGTCGCAGACCTGGGAGCTGTACCTGAGGGACTCTACTCACCTCTAGATGGTCAGTCTGGGCATTTCCAGAATGGGCTCTCTCAAGAGCAGCCTTACTTGCCGGGGAAGATGGCATTTTCCTGTGTTGGGTCAACAGCAGTTAGCTGCATTTAGCAGCTTAGGGAGGGAAGGCTGGCATCACAGTGGCTCTACCACCATGCTGCTGTGGTGGGTGTCTGTCTCAGCTCTAGACAGAGGCTATGGGAGTCAGGGTCTAGTGCTGGTCCTCTGTGTCTGTACCACTTAGCCCAGCACCTGACAGAGCAGAGGTTTGGTGAGCGCACACTCTTGTTCCACAGAAGACATCTGGCATCTATGCACACTGTACACTGTTGCTGGCACTGGGGAGGGGGGAGGACATGGTGGTGAAAAGGCCATTCCTGTCCTCCCTTGTGAGCTTATATATAGTATGAATAGTCATATAAACAAATCGACATAAGCCAGAGAGTTTGAAATTGTGATGAGGCTCTGACCTGATAAATGAGGTATGTGACAGAGAGACAATGGTTTTTCAAGGTGATGCAGGAAGGTCTCTCCCAGGACCTGATATTTGAGCTGAGATCTGAATGACAAGGATGAGCCAGGCATGTGGGGCTTGATAAGTGTGTCTGCCAGATGGATTATCAACTGAAAGGAGCAAGCCTGGGTGGCTGGGGAACAACTCAGAGGCTGAGCGCTGGGCATCAGGCGTGAGGAGGGGCGGGGGAGGCCGCTGACGTGGGCGGGCTCACTCATGGGGGTCTGGTCGACGACGAAGAGGCCATTAAAGGGTGCTGTGCAAAAATGTGAGTGATGTGGCTTGAGTTTTCAAGGGTCCCTTTGGCTGTCATGTGGAGCCTGCAAGAGTACAGTAAGAAGGCAGAGGTCTAGACAAAGGACCATGGCAACTTGCTTTGGGGGGACGTGAAAACAGAGGCTGAGAAGCTGGCAGTGGAATGAATGATGTGGGAGTGAAAGCAGACTCCAATAAGAAATGGGCCTGGGCCCTTCCCAGAGACACATACACTGCTATTGGGGCCAACACAGAAGGCCCTGAGAGTCTTTTGGCATGCAGACCCCAGGGGACAGAGCCAGGTGCCCAGGCCAACCCCACTGATTTCATGACCACTCATCACTGGATGTGCTGGTGGAAACTGGGATGGCATCGTGCTAGATCAGAAATGGTGCTTAGAGCCGGGCGCGGTGGCTCAGCCTGTAATTCCTAGCACTTTGGAAGGCCAAGGCAAATGGATTGTCTGAGCCTGTGGGTTCGAGACCAGCCTGGGCAACTTGGTGAGACCTTGTCTCAACAAAAAATCAAAAACTAGCTGGGCGTGGTAGCACACACCTGTAGTTCCGGCTACTTGGAAGGCTGAGGCGGAAGGATCGCCGGAGCCCAGCAAGTTGACGCTGGGGTGGCTGTGAGCATGCCACGGCACTCCAACCTGGGCGATGGAGTGAGACTCCAACTCAAAAAACAACAACAAAAAAAGAAAAGAAATGGTGCTTGGGGGTGGTTCCAACATCCCGTAGCATCTCATCATGGAGACTCTAAGGTTAAGAAGACTTGCAGCAGGAATTTCAGACTTTAACCTCTATTTGTAACTGCCTCTCTTAGAAAGTGCCAGAAGCTCCCATAGAACTGAACTTCTGGAAACCAGCTCATTGGAAAGTTGAAGGTATCGTGAACTCTTTAGTTGGATCCCACTGAGTCCCTGCCAGGTGCTTTATTTGTTAGCCTATTGCTCCTGCTAGCAGCCCTGTGAAGTGAGGTATAGTCTCTTTTGGAAATAAGGAAACTGAGTTTCCAGGAGGCTGTCTAGCTTTCACAAACCACAGAACTGGGCCAGACAACATGTGTCTGGCCCCCCCTTTCCCCCAGTGCAGTGTGCCCCGCCCCAGCCTACCCACTGTGCTCACCGCCCGCACGTCGTCTGGCAGGTCCTCATCGAGGTCGCCCTTGAGGATCTTCTCGAGGGTGTTGATAGAGATCTCCAAGAGCTTCTCATGGTGGTGGTTCTCCAGGTCCCTACACTGAGCCATCGTGCAACCACGAGTTAAGCAAAAGCCAAGGTGGAGCAGGCTAGTGCGTCCCTGACAAGCACTCATCGGGCCGGGGCCATTTCAGGTACACAGGAACAGACTTTAAGGACCCAAGGCAATCTCTGAGGTGCTGGATGGCATCACAGCTGTCACAGCTGTCCACCCTCATGCATTAAGCCCCGGGGTCATCACAACTCCCCAGTGTCACGCCTGCTCCCACACCTGGCCATCATGGACGGACCCTGGCACCCTATCATCCACTTCTCTCCATCCCCACAGCCGCCCATCTGAACACAGCAGCAGACTGCCCACTGGCCTCCACACGTGCCCTTTCTCCCCACGCAGCCAGAGTGTGCTTGAAGATGCAAGCAGCCAGACTCACACCTCTCCTTAGAGTAGCGCTCCTGAGAGCTTCCTGTGCTCCCACTGGGCCTAACGACCTCCCACGGCACTAATGACCTCCTGCCTTTTGGAGCTGGACTTCTCTGGCCCGTCCTTAGGGCCTTTCCACAGGCTTCTCTTCTGCCTGAAATGTCCTCTCCGCCCTTCCACCTGGTCCCTCTGGCCACCCTCAGGTCCTCACTTAGTGGACCCTCCCTCAGGGAGGTTGCTGGCACTGGCCTCTGTGTTAAGTGCTACTCACCCCATGCCTTGGGTACAATTAGTTTCCTTCATAACTTCTGCCTCCCTGCTGAACTGTCAGCCCCAGGAGGGCAGGACCAGAGGGTTGCTTCTGGGGTAGAGCACAGCAATTTGCTCCCGTGTGACAGGGCCCTGAGTTCTGGTAGCAGAAGGGTTGCTCGCGCGCCAAATATGGGCTCCTAACTCTGACACTGAACCTGACAAGCTCATGATGAATAGTCAGTGCTTCAACATGGAGGCTGCCTCATCTCCAGAACATGTTTGCCTGCAACACAGGGGGCATCATCTCCCTGTGGACATCACTCAGAGGAGAACAACATCTGGGACTCTACTGCACACAGCCGGGATCCCACCCCGCAGCCCCTCTGGGCATCCAAACCATCATTCCCACAAGGCCATCATTGTTCTGAGGGTTGGAAAACCCCCTCAGGCCCTGTGGAACATTCTTTTGAACATTCTAAGCCTTGCCAAATTTACATCCTTTGAAGGTGAGCTTCTTCCTTGGTGCAAAACCGGAGGTTCTACATTCCTCTAATTTCAAAGGTGGAGATTCCCCCAGGTAGGACTCTGTGATGGATTTGAATATCAAGTTGGTGGAAGTGTAGATCTTTCTATCAAACAGGGAGAAGGTAATTCTAGTAAAAAGTGAAGTATGATTATAGAGCTCTGACTCTAGTGATTCTCTGCCAGTGTGTCAGGGCACTGGTGGCAGTGGGAGGGGGCAGGGGTGTCCTACAGCTGGCCATTGGGAAGGGCACCCCGCTTATTTTCATCCTGCTTAGTTTGTGAAGAAGCTTTATCCTTCTCTGTGTTTTATTGAAAATGCAAGTGCCTCCTCCCTAGCTCCTCCAGAAGCCAGGAAAACCCCAGGGGCTCTGTAGCACCTCCCCACAGGGAAGGAGGAGAGGCCATGTCATCATAGAAAGGATATAGGCTTTGGACATTTTCAATAAAGGATCCCACCAAGTCGGTGATGTTCCTTTCAAACATGTTTATGGCCTCCTGGAAATGATAAAAAAACACAGTTAATGTGGGTGTATAGACACCCAGCTCCAGAGCAAAAGGCACTCCTTAGAACTTAGCCAGCGCCTCCAATAATCACAGACCTTCAGGGCTAAAGATCACCCATCTTGACCTTCTTGGGCAGATGGTTAAGGACTGACCCCTCCTCTTTCTTCAGAGCTCTGTTGCTTTCCAGCCATATTAACTCACGGTACCACCTGAATGTGTACTACTGTCACTGGGCCTTTGCTTGTACTGGGTCCCTATGCCAGGAACACTTGTCCTGGCCTTACTCCCCTTATCTCCCCTCCCCCACACATACACAGAGCTAACCTCCTTCCTCTAGACTCCTCAGTGGCATCTGTCCACCCCTTCCAGGCAAACAGTGGAGTGAACTGTCAAAGAGTCAGACTGCCTGGGTTGGCAGCCCAACTCCACCACTGTGTGGAACTCTGGGAAAGTTATTTAACCTCCCTGGGCCTCAGCTTCCTCACCTGTGAAATGAGTTTCCTGGAAAGTACCTGTCTCAAAGAGTTGTGGTGGGGCTGAATGAGTGACTTCACACAAACACTTTGCAAGGTGCCTGGCAGAGAGTAGGCCTTGTGAGAGCTGGCTGTTACCCAGACCTCACTGTTAGTTCTGTTTCATGGTGCTTGAGGGAACAATGGAAGCTGTGATTGAGAGCCTTTCTCTTTGGTGCCCACCCCCACAACTCCCGGCATCCACCACGGACTCCAGGGGCTGCAAGATGGACCAGGGGTTGCGGGGATCCACAGGAGCCTGAGGACTGTCTGCAGACTGAGCAAGTTAGACATTGTCCAAATGTATGTAAGTGTTGCTGTAGTTAATAAAAACAGGGTCACTGCAAAGCATGGCTGCCCTTGCCGCCTTTTGGCCACCGGATAATACAAGGGCCACAGTGCACGGGCACTGGGCCATGTCTGGAGGTGGGAAAGCAATCTCCCCGCCTGCCAAGGGTGGGAGCGGCCACCTGGCTCTCCCCGCTGCACATGCATGCTGCTCTGCAGTGTGTGCGCGTTCCAGCGGGAGGGGAGCGGCTGCCATGTGATGTGATAGGGAAATCTATCCTGTGTCTGAGGTGTCACTTGACGTGTGAGGAATTGATTAGGTGCTATCTCTCAGCCCAGCCACAGCAGCATCCGATGAGGTTCAATTCATCACACCACTTCAGACTCCTGGCCTCTGCTGCCTGTGAACACACAAGTCACTGTGCCGCTAATGAATTCGAAACAGCAGCGCTTTTCATTTCCGCTACTTAGTGCCGGGCGGCAGGCTCCATGCATCGCCGAGAGGGGCAACTGCAGGCTGCAGTGCGGAGGAGCCTTTGTTTGCTCTTTGAGTGGGGTCCACTTCGTCTTTCGAGCACCCGGATAGCTCCTTGGGTCTAATTAAAAACCTATCCCCGCTGAGGCTCTGGGCTTTTCCAGGACGGGTGTTCATTCCCCCCAAGAACCACTTCCAACCTAAACTATTACACTGTATTAAAAGCAAACACAGAATGACGAGTGAGAACGCTTCAGCCCGACACCCTGAGTTGCACAGGTCGTCTTCAACGAGAGGTGCGCTCCTGGGAGCTGCAGTTCGCGTGTGGGTTTGCAGCTATAACCCCAGGCTCTGGCATCTGTGCCCAGGGCCGGCCTTACCTCCAGCTGCTCCACCAACTGCATCTCCAGCGTCATGAGTGTGTTGGACAGTTCAGTGATGTCTTCGCTGCACTCCATGATCATCTTCTTGACGTTGGGCAGTTCGGACTCCTCTCGAATGGCACTTAAACCCTGGAAACAAAAGCCTGGGCTTTAGGAATCAACAGTTCAGTGTAGTTAGTTAATGGCAGGCAGCAATTCAGTTTTTGCGGGTAAGAATTTGGACTCTGGCTGTGACATTTGCCAGCCCTGTGAGCTTATCGATGATGCCTACCCTCTCTGTGCCTCAGTTTCCTTGTCTGTAAAGTGGAAATGATAGCCCCTCCCGCGACAAAGGTGAGAGAACACATGTGAGGCTCCCAGAGCATGAGTACTCCAACCTTGTTTGCTCAGACTTTTTTTTTTTTTTTTGAGTTGGAGTCTTATTCTGTCACCCGGACTGGAGTGCAGTGGCACGCTCCCAGCCACTGCAGCCTCGACCTGCTGGGCTCCGGCGATCCTTCCACCTCAGCCTTCCGAATAGCTGGAATTACAGGTGCGCGCTACCACGCCCAGCTAATTTTTTTTAATATTATTTATTGTAGAGATGAGGTCTCACCAAGTTGCCCAGGTGGGTCTCGAACCCGTGGGCTCAGGCAATCCACTCACCTCAGCCTCCCAAAGTGCTGGGATTACAGGGTGAGCCACTGAGCCCGGCTGACTTTTTTTTTTTTTTAATTAGAGGCTGCCAGGCACGGTAGAAGGAGCCATGGCTTTCACAGGGTTCAAAGCATTCCACCCCAAAATATGCTGCTTTGTCAAAGTGATTATCTTGAGTTAAAGATACTTAAAAGCATCAGATGCAAAGAGGATATGCTGACCTCCCCTTTTCTGCCTGAAAGCAGGAGATGAAACTCCCACGTGACAGGTGTCCGCCCTCTACCAGGAGGAAGGAAGGCATTCTTATCACTGGAGACAGGGAATCAGGGCTGAGGGAAGTCTGTACAAACAGGCCTTGTTCAACTAACCCTCGTCTGTCCAGTCACTTCACCATGAGCCGCCCTAAGCCAAATCCCCTCGTTCTGTCCCATTTTCACAATTCACTACTCTTGGTCCAGCCTAGTATAGAAGCTTTTTTCCCTAGCTGCTTATTCAGTTTCCATGTACATGGGAATGTCACAAAATAAAATGTGTATGCTTTTTCTCCTGTTAGTCTGTCTTATGTAAGTTTAATTCTTGGTCCCAGTCGAAGACTATATAGGATAGAGGAAAATTTGACTTGCCCTACAATTTTAGTGTCCGGTGGACCTGAATTTGAATCCTGCCTGCATCATGTATAAGCCGTGTGACCTTGGGAGAGCCACCTTCATCTCTATAACTCCATTTCCTCACTGTAAAGGGGGAGAAGAATCTGTGGGCTATCATTTCCACTTTACAGACAAGGAAACTGAGGCACAGAGAGGGTAGGCATCATCGATAAGCTCACAGGGCTGGCAAATGGAGTGCAGTGGCACGCTCCTGGCCACCGCAGCCTCGACCTGCTGGCCTCCGGCGATCCTTCCACCTCAGCCTTCCAAGTTAGGGGAATTGGAGGCCACATATGTGAAGTGGCTGGCACACAGTGAAGGCTTCTATAAAAGACTGTAATAGGGCTGGGCATGATGGCTCATGCCTGTAACCCCAGAACTTTGGAAGGTTAAGGCAAAAAGATTGCTTGAGCCCAGGAGTTTGAGACCAGCCTGAACAACATAGCAAGAACTCTTCTCTACAAAAAAAAAAAAAATTTTTTTTTTTAGGAACGCAAGATTTATTGAGAAGATGGAAAAGCTCCCAAGGAGGTTGCCCTCCAAAAAATTTTTTAAAAAATTAGCCAGGTGTGGTGGCACATGCCTGTAGTCCTAGCTACTTGTGAGGCTGACATGAAAGTGTTGCCTGAGCCCAGGAGAATGAGGCTGCGGTGAGCCGTGATCATGCCACTATACTCCAGCCTAGGCAACAGAGTAAGACTCCGACTCAAAAAAATTTTTTTAATTTAAAAAATAAAAAAAAATTTTTAAAGAAAGAGATACAGAAAAAGACAGATCAAAAACAAACAAAAAATATGGGTAAAGCGCAAATAGTTCGCAGAGTAAGAAATACAAATGGTTGCAAAACACGTGTTGCTCACCCCCCACGCAGGAGAAAATAAACACATCCCAGGGTACACTAGACCGGCAAACATTGGGAAGCACAGGGTACTGGCCTGACAAGGGCTGTAGAGGGGACAGACTCTGTGGGGTACAGCTGGCCAATAACCAGAAGTACCAGTGTACAGTGCCACTTCCAGGGCTTCGTCCTACGGGGCAAATGTGCACCAGCTTATTCAGTGCAATGCTGACAGGGCAAAGGGCTGGAGAAAGCTGACTGCCTATCAACAAGGAATGGCTAAATAATGATGGCTCATTCAAGCAATGAGGTATTTTACAGCTGGAATAAATGAAGTGCCTCTTTCACTTTGGAAGGCTCTCCAAGATGCAGAGAGAACAGGAAAGCAAAGTGCAGCACAGTGCATGCTCGGCTTACATTATGTATATACACACGCAGACACAGAGGTGGGAGGAAAATGGACTGTGTCCCCTGTGGCCAGTTTTCGTTCCCTGCCATGTGCGTGTACGCCTATTCACAAACAGATCCCACCACACACAGTTCTGTCTGCCATTGTTTTAGCTGACTCTGTTCTGGTCTGGGGCGAGCGCCCCCTCCCTCTCTGTCTTGGTAGTTTCTCACTATAGTTCTTTGGGTGGTTATTTTACAAATGAAGAGATGGAGTCTAGGAGAGGGTCAGTTTTTGCCTCTGTGTCACCAGCAAGGGCTGTCTGAGCCCCAAGCCTTCGGTGACCACACTGTGGCCCAGAAACGGTGCCCCCCTGGGAGCAAGGCGCTGTGTGCCAGGGATAAGGCCTCATGGGGGTGGGTGGGAGGAGGACAGGATAAGGCCACAGGAGAGGGCCTGTGAGGGGAGGGAACTGGGGACCCTCAGGGCCCATGGGGTCTTGGGAACTTCTAAGGCAGTGGCCTCAACTTAGGCTGAGCATTGAAAACACGTGGGAACTCTGGAAAGTCCCTGTGCCAGGCCACCCTAAATTGCCTAAGTGGGCGCCCCTGTTTGGGGCCTGAGAATATCTCCAGGCCTCTGGACTCCGAGTGGGGGCTGGACGGGGCTCACTGCTCTAGGCTCTAGGAGGGAATGCTCAGGTTAGTCAGCTCATCCGAGATGGCCTTTGAGGAGCCAGCCAGCACGTAAAGGCACATGCCTGAGCCAAAGGAGCAGAGTCGCACACTCCAAGTCAGGCTTGGCCAGGCCCACGTCCTGCTTTTCCAGAGGGACTTGCTGCTGAGGGGCCAGGCCCTTGTGCTGGGCTTTAGGAGAAGCTGATTCCCAGGCATTCCAAACCCCATCTACTGGCACCAGATAGATGTCAGGAAGGAGGAGGCTGGACAGTGACCGGGAGAATGGAGACATGGCCCGTCCAGATGCGAAAACCATCACTCATGTCCCCCAGTGACAACTGCCTCCAGAGTAGCTGGCAACCACAATTTTTCATGAAATCTGCCAGTTTCTAATGTCAGCAGGATGTTCAAAACGTTTTTAACCCTCTGCAGGCCAAATAAAACACATATGGGAGCCAAATGTGTTCCTCTGCTGACAGTTTTGAACTTCTGGTTGAACGCAGTAACATTGCTCCCTGTAACATAATAAGGAGGGTCTCGAGAATTAAATCACATAGAATTAGTGAGGCTAATGTGACAAGAATGGGTTTGGGGGAGCTGGGGATGGGGGCCAGGAAGCACATAGGAGTTGATCGTCAACTCTGTTACATCTGAACTTGCATTATCGAGGATTTTTCTCAACTTTCTGTTCACAAGGAATAGCTTTATGGGCTCTGTGAGGTCCCTGATGCTGCAGGCAAACTTGGCGTGTGTGAATAGCTTTCTGAGGAGAAAGACAGTCCATAGCTTTCCTCAGTGTCTGACCAAGAACCTTGCCTTTAAAGATAATGCTAACTGAGAGAAACAGTTCCCATCAAGTACAAAGACAGGTGTCCTTTCCCATGGCCCCTCCAAGAGCTGAGTGCAGTGGCCAGGTCCTGACTGCCTAGAGCCTTCTCTGGCTGGGGCGGGGAGGAGAATGCCCTTCCTCCCTGTTAACCCTTTGTCTTGTAAACTTCAACCTTCTCTGAACTCCTCAGCCTGAGTCAAGATGCCTCCAAGGTTACCCCCAAGGCTCCTGGAACTTCCCTCCAGGATGGCACTGACCCCTCTACTCACTCACATGGGAGGGCCTGGACCAGGGCCCTGAGCTCACAAGGGCAAGAACCACATCCAGCATGGCTCCAGCCCCCTAGGGCCAGGTACAGAGTGGGGCTCAGATGTCTAGTAAATGAATGAATGAACGGCTCTTTTTGCCATCTTTCCATGCTGCCATTATGGAGCATGTGAGTCTACTGACTGACGCTCTCAAGAGCATCAGTAATGCCAAAAAGAGAGGTAAATGCCAGGTTCTTATCGGGCTGTGCTCCAAAGTCATTGTCTGATTTCTAACTGTGATGATGAAGCATGGTTACATTGGTGAATTTGAGATCATTGATGATCACAGAGCTGGTAAAATTGTGGTGAACCTCACAGGCAGGTTAAACAAATGTGGCATAATGAGCCCCAGATTTCATGTGCAACTCAAAGATCTAGAAAAGTGGCAGAATCTGCTTCCATCTCACCAGTTTGGTTTCATTGTACTGACAACCTCAGCTGGCATCATGGACCACGAAGAAATAAGATGGAAACACACAGGAAGGAAAATCCTGGGATTCTTTTTCCAGGGATGTAATACATATGTACAAATAAAATGTCTCAGTGGACAAAAATAAATAAATAAAAGTAGTAGTCATTGTGATTGTCATGACATTGGTAATCTTAATACCATTATTCATAGAAATAAGGGTAAGGTGGTGGGAGTCTTGATAACCTTGAACCCCAGGGATGTTTTATATGAGAAGACCCACAGGCTCCACACTTGGCTTGGCCCATCGTCCCGCAGTGGGAGCTGTGGTTAGTGGTTCTGGGATAAGGTGGACCTTGGCCCTGCCACTTATTAGCTATTTGATCCCTGGCAAATGAGGTCAGTGACTGTGGGGCTCTGAGGTCATCAAAGGGTACAGGAGTTGCAGCCCCTCCACAGAGGGGGTTGCACGCTGGAGCAGGAGGGCCTCAGGAGGCTTGGGCCTACCAGCAAGTACTTCTCCTCGAATTTGGCAATCTTGCGCCTGCCCTCCTGCTGGTTTTCCTGGATGGCCTCATGGACACATTCATTGAAGGTGTCAAGCTCTGTTTTCCGCTTCTCCTGCTGTTTCATGCCGTACTCAAAAACGTTCAGGCAGATGATGACAAATTTGTCCTTGTAGGTGAGTGGCTGTTAAGGAAGCTCATGGCTGTCTTGGGAGCAGGCCACCAGGGGGTATGGCAAAGGTGTTAGTAACCCCCAGCACAGAGTGCTGACTGCATACTCAACAGTGCATGGGACTTGAACCTATGGTCTCACTTGGTCCATCTTATGGATGAAGAAACTGAGGGCTCAGAGAGCCAGGATTAGAGGTTTGGAGTATAATGTGGTGGTTGGAGCACCTCCACCCTCAGCCTGAGGGATTCAGGAATGGGGCGTGCAGGAAAGAAGATGGCAGGGGCCACAGGGGAGTCTACAGAGTAGAGGAGAAACATGCTAAGAAAGGTCCCAGCAGAGACTCCTGGGGGGCTTGGAGGGGCCGCGAGGATGTGCTTTGAGCCTGGGGAGCCAGTCCCCACTGGGGAAATGGCAGTGTTGCCTTTTTGTCTCTGGCGTGTTATCTGGAAGGACTCCTTTATTGAGGGGCTGTCTTGGTGCTCAGCTCCTGCAGCTGTACTGAGGGAGGACCATGGGGTTGAAGCAGACAGATCCAGGCTCAAGTTCTGGCTCTGCCCCTGCGTCTGGGACCCACCCTGGCAAGTCCCTCCACCTCTCTGGGCTTCAGTTTCCTCATCTGCAGCTGAAGGTACAACAGAACCTGTGACATGGAGTCCTTAGGAGGAGTCACCTGCCTTGGAGTCAGGCAGGTGAAGCCCACAGGGCCTTAAGTGATTCTGTGCAGATGGAAACTGATGCTCAGAAGAAGAAATGACTTGCCCAAAGTCACAGGGCCACACGGTGTTAGAGCTGAGAGGAAACCCCAGTCAACATGCTGGCAGTGTCAGGGCTGGCCAGAACCCTGGTCCTTACTCTTCCTCACTGGCCTTCCTTCATTCTTTCTAGAGTGTCAGGTTTTTGAATGAATTTCTCTTTCAGTGAGGGTGGCCCCACAGACTCATCTGTGACTGGTTGCCTCATCTCAGAGTGCTCAGATTCAGGAATTCCTCGAGTGTGTCCTGAGTCCCTCAGCTCACAATTTAAGGTCACTGATCTGTCGTCATGGCAACAGCCCTGATGACAAGAGAGGACCACATCCTCTGGGCTCCAGGCGACTGGAGGAAAGAATGCAGACTTTCAGTCCCCACAGATGGTGTGATCTCAGACAGTACTACATTTCTCCAAACTTAGCTTCCTCAACTATAAAATGGCATCTCATGGGGTGGTTGAGAAAATTATATAGTATGCAAATACACATCAAGATCAAGTGAGTGTGGCTGATGAGGGTCATTGCCACAGGCGCACATTTTTTTTTTTCTGACTACAAGCATGCACCACCACACCTGGATAATTTTTTTGTAGAGATGAGGTCTCACTATGTTGCCTAGGCTGTTCTTGAGCTCCTGGGCTCAAGTAATCCTTCTGCCTTGGCCTCCCAAAGTGCTGGGATTACAGGCACGAGCCACCACTCTAGGCCACAGATGCACATTTCAATCAATCTCTCTACTTCTGAAAACCTGGCTTGCAGAGTATGGCTGACCTGCGCTATGCTGACCAGAAACTCAATATGTTCCCAAAATCTAGACAATATTTTCCCCACGAAGCTCAGCTGATCTGGCTGTGAATACACTGTTCTGTAGTGGAGACTTTACCTCCCCGGGTCTTCCAAGGGAGATGGGAAAACTGAGGCCTAGAGCAGAAGGGGACTTGCCCAAGGCAGGCTGGTGGCACAGGGACCAGGCTCTCTCAGAGGCAGCAGCCATAAACTCGGAAGGATATGCCTCGAGGAGCTCGCCGACGCTGGGCAGGTAGGATAGCTTGTTGCCCTCCACATCCTCCGCGTACATGCTGTCAAACAGGAAGGAGCCGTTCAGGAGCTCCACAAATGCATCCTGCGGGTAGAAACACAGCCGGGCATGGCGACTCCAAGCAGGGTGCCTGGTTCATCTCACAGGCTTCTGTGAGGGCACTTAGGGTGGGTGCCCTAACCTGGGCACTGGGGCCAGTGAAGGCTTTGTGGAGGAGAGGGCTGCCCTTGGGCTCCAGCCCCTGAGAAAAATAGGTCAGTGGGAAGGTGTAGACAGGGGCTGGAGTGGTGGAGAGAGGCTAGCAGTCCCCGTCACCGACTCAAGGCCATCTGAGCTGAGGGACCTGAGCTGTTCCTGGTGCCGTGAGAACTGCCTGAGGGTCTCAAGAAAAGGAGCTGCTCTGACAGTCTGTCTTCAGCACATTCTCTTCAACAGCTGGAGGCAGGAATGCCAGTGAGGAGCCAGAAACTGGGCTGAGATGGAGCCAGCCCTGGGGGCAGGTCATGGGGCCCAGAGAGGTGGGAGCAGGCATCAGGGCCTAGGGAAGGAGCCTGGGGATCCTTGTGGACCGCTGTTTATCTTGACCAGTGCCCTCTCGTGGGCATCTCTGAGCCAGGCTGTAGGCGCAGGGCTGCCCGGGTGCACCTTGTGCTTCTCCAGCTCCTCGCGCTGGGCCTTCTCATCCTCCAGGCGGGCCTGCTGCAGATTCTCCCGGTGCTTTAGCTCGTCGATGCTGTACTGGTGCTTGGTCTCTGCCAGCTCTTTCTGACCAGGGAATGGAAAGCAGTGTCATTCCCAGAGGAAGTTTGATTCCTCCCAGCCACACTGCCTCTGCCATTCTCTGGCCTCTTGTTTGTGGGCTCAGGTGGCTGTGAGGTCTTTCTTGAAGGCTGTGAAGTCCTATGGAGCAGACTGGCTCAGCTCCTTGTAAGCCTTTCCAGGTTTTCTGAGTGTAAGAGAATTTAGGGAAAGAGCAAAAGGAGAATTTAGGGAAGGCCGCGTGGCGGGCTGAGACTCCCAGGACGACTCTGCGGCAGGAGCCACAGTGATGGAGCGCCCCCTCACACCAGATGGTGTCCTCCACAGAGGACCTGCCTGCTCACTCCTGACAGCCCTCGAGGCAGGCCTCTGGCCCTCTTAGGGAAGGATGATGGGAGTGGTAAAGTGAGCCACCCAAGGCCACAGGGCTGGGTCACGAGACTCTGGCCCTTGGCTCCATGCCCTGCCTCCTCCTGCACTCTCCACTCCTCTGGCTCGTGCCCTGCACTTGGCCAGGGATGCTGGAGCCCCCAGAATTCAGTCCTCACCCGCTTCTTGGCTCACTCTGAGCACCCTAGGCTATCTCACCTGTGCCTATGGCTTCAAGTACCGCCAATTGGCGATCCCTAGACGACACAGGCCTCTATCAGCAGCCCTGACCCTGCCTCTGAGAATCAACCCTGAGCTTCTGATGGCCTGGTTCCCCTCTGGAGCTCAGCTGTTCATATTGCTCCTGGGGTCACACAGACGAGGTGAATCTTGGCTTGGCCACAATCTGGTGATCCCGGCTAACTGCTCATCCTCCTGTAGCCTCCTCAGCTTCTTCATCTGGAAAACCAGTTGGAGCAGGATGACCGTGAGGTGGCTCTGAGACTGCGTAAGAAGGGGCCTGGCCCCAGGAGCATGCACACAACAGCACCTGAGAGAGGTAGGTAGAGGGACTCAGGAAGCGGACCTGCCCTCTCAGTCCTCGATGTGGTTTAGGGAAGCTACCTCAGTGCCCCTTTCTGGTGAAACCTGGTGAAGCCTCTGTCTCACAGGATGAGAGACTGAGAAGGAGACACTTGCCACGTGGTCATCGATGCGCTGGAAGTCCAGGTACACGAGGTCAGGAAGGTAGGCACAGATGAACATCCTGTAATCCTCTGCCTCGGAGATAGGGTTCCCTGAGAGGCTGAGCGTCCTCAGGCACTTGAACCGCCGCAGGTAGATGATCTAGGGAGAAGAGGGGAGAAGAGACCTGTTTTCTTGACAGCTGCAGAGTGGCCTCCCTCCTCAGACCTCTTTCAGAGTTTGTAGCCTGGCTGTAGCATCATCAGAGCTGGGTGGGGTGACAGGAGAGGAGGGAGTGGGGTTCCAGGCTGGGCAGCAGTACTGTGACCCGCCAGGCATGCACTTTCCAAAGAATCAGCAGACCAGGGTTCAGGACCTTGCTGTGGGATCTTGGACAAGTTACTTAACATCTGTGAGCCTCAATTTCCTCATCTGTAAAATGGGTATACGTATTATAGGTATTGCAAAGGCCAATGAAATTGCTTTGAAAAGTATTTTGAAGAGTCCCTGACACCCACTCAAAAATGGCAGTGCCAGTAGTTATTAGTGGTCACTCAGCATAGGCATGACTTTTTTTTTTTTTTTAGAAAGCAGGATTTGTTGAGAGGACAGAAAAACTCCCACAGTGGGAGGGGACCCAAAGGGGTTGCCCAGACATAACTTTTTAGATTGTAAAGACCCATGAAAGGTCCAAGTACCTTCAATTAAGTGGAACGTTGGATTCCCTGGATAACAGCTAGTGGAACATTCCAGTAACTGCTGCTTATTCTTCCTATACTCTATTTTTAGCAAAACAGGGAAATGTCAACCAGACAGCTAATACTTCATTGGGCAGAATCTCCTGCATACCTAGAACAGTGTACTTTGCAAAAGATAGAAAAGAAACCTAGCATGCTTTCTGTCATGTATTTGCTCATGTTTACCAAATGTTATTAGTCACACAACAGGCCTCAGGCACATGCTAGGCCTTAGAGATATAGAGGGAAACAAGCCCCATGTGGTCCCTGCCCTTATAGCAAGAGCTTATATTTTGGGGGTGGGAGAAAATGTTTTTAAAAATAAATAAAATGAGCCGGGCTCGGTGGCTCAGCCTTTAATCCCGTGCCTTTGGGAGGCTGAGGTGAGTGGATTGCCTGAGCCCGCGGGTTCGTGACCCACCTGGGCAACTTGGAGAGACCTCATCTCCACAATAAATCAAAAAAAATAAGCCGGGCGTGGTAGCACGCGCCTGTAGTTCCAGCTACTTTGAAGGCTGAGGCGGAAGGATCACCGGAGCCCAGCAGGTCGAGGCTGCAGTGGCCAGGAGCGGCCACTGCACTCCAGTCTGGGCGACAGAGTGAGACTCCAACTCAAAATAAATAAATAAATAAATAAATAAATATAATCAGCCGGGCTCGGTGGCTTAGCCTGTAATCCTGTGCCTTTGGGAGGCTGAGGTGAGTAGATTGCCTGAGCCCACGGGTTCGAGACCCGCCTGGGCAGCGAGACCTCATCTCTACAATAAATCAAAAAATCAGCCAGACGTGGTAGCGCATGCCTGTAATTCTGGCTACGCGGAAGGCTGAGGAGGAAGGATCGCCAGAGCCCAGCAGGTCGAGGCTGCGGTGGCCGGGAGCGGCCACTGCACTCCAGTCTGGGTGACAGAGTGAGACTCCAACTCAGGAAAAATAAATAAGTAAATAAATAAATAAATAAAATTATTCTGGTTTTGGGTAAGTGCTTAAGAAACATACAGATGGCACCATGAGAGAAAATAATAGAAAGGCCTTTTCAATTAGGGGACTCAGAGGTCTTGCTAGGGAGGTGACATTTAATGGGAGATCTGAAGGAGCCAGCAATGGAAGAGTAAAGAGGAGCACACTTCTGGGAGTCAAGACGGTACAGGCAAAGGCTCTGACGTAGCAAAGAACTTGCCATACACCAGGCATTGAGCATAAGCCAAGATGGCTGTAGCATGGTGGGGAAGGGGCTGGGGAAGGAATTGAGATGGACTGGAGACAAGGCCAGGGGCTGGCTCATGGTTTGTGACCCAAGCACGCTGCAGTCAAGAGTATGAATTTTGGGTTGGGTTCGGTGACTCAGCTTGTAATCCCAGCACTTTGGGAGGCCAAGGAGAGTGGATTGCCTGAGCTTGCGGGTTTGAGACCAGCTCGGGCAACTTGGCAAGACCTTGTCTCTACAATAAAATCAAAGCTTAACCGGGTGTGGTAGTGTACATCTGTAGTTCCGGCTAATCGGAAGGCTGAGGCAAAAGGATCACTGGAGCCCAGCAAGTCTACGCTGGGATGGCTGTGAGCGTGCGTGCGACTGGGCTCCAGCCTGGGCGAAGGAGTAGACTCCAATTTAAAAAAAAGTATGAATTTTGTATGCTGGGCGCAGTGGCTCACGCCTATAATCCCAGCACTTTGGAAGGCTGATGTGAGAGGATTGCCTGAGCCCACGGGTTCAAGACCAGCCTGGGCCACTTGGCGAGACTTCATCTGTACAATAAATCAGAAAATTAGCTGGGCATGGTGGTGTGTGTCTGTAGTTCCAGCTACTGGAAGGCTGAGGCGGAAGGATCACCTGACCCCAGCAGGTCAAGGTTGTGGTGGTTGTGAGCATGCCACTGCACTCCAGCCTGGGTGACAGAGTGAGACTCCAACTCAAAAAAAGAGTTTGAATTTTGTTCTAAGGACAATGGAGTCATTGGAATTTTAAGTGTGTGTGAGGGTAAGGGGGAGCAGGATCTGATTTAATTTCAAGAGATCTAATGAGATTCCATTTTTCATCTTTTAGATTGGAAAAAAGAGAAACGTTTGATAACAAAGTGTGTTGTAGAAGACGAGAGGGAACAGGCTGCCTCATCATGGCTGGTGGGTTTGTAAATAGTTGTACTTCAACTTGGCAAGATCCATCAGCATTAAAAATGCACATGCCCTTTGACCTAGCAATTCCCCTCTGGGAGTTTGTCTTACAGATGGCTTGCTCAGGTGCAAAGTAACCCCTGTGCCAGGAGATCCACTGCAGCCTGTGTGTAATGGCGCCAGGTTGGGAAACAACCTGGACATCCCCCTGCAGGGAGCTAGAAAACATACATCATGCTGTGTCTGAGTGATGGAATGAGCCAGCAGGGAGAGGGACTGATGACTCAGGGGAAAGGGGACACACACCAAAGGCAGGCGCTTGGAGGTAGCTGGACAGGTGTGACAGTTACGCACAACATTTAAGCATGAGGCTCTGGGAAAGACACATGTGACTTAGAAGCAGCAGGGCCTTTGGAAGGGGAAGCAGGGAGGAGGCAAGGAGGGAGAGAGGCTCTCCCTGTGAGCCCTGGGTTCTGCTTAAACGTCTGTTTTTAATGCAATAAGCAGAAATAAGAATAAGCCTAATAAATAAATAAATGACAAGAAAGTAATTAATGTCAGATAAACAGTACAGATAAGGACTCAAAGAAAAGATGCCCAGGGTTAGGAGCTGCTACCTGAGAAGTCAGGACTCTCCAGGTCGAGCTACCAAGAGGGCTGATGCCTGACTAGGTGAAGAGGATCCAGGGCTCTCAGAATCTCTGGGATGCGGCCAGGCCTTGGGACCATCTGGTGAACAGCTGGCCCAGATGCCTCAGCATTCCCTGGCAGCTTTCTCCCCATGGGTCTTCCATCCTCTTTCTCACTGAGAACTGACTTTACCAGCTTCCCCCATATTCATGGTGGGACACCTGACACTTGGCAGCCCACTAGGAAAGGGTGAGGGGCAGGATGGGAGAAAACCCAAGACCAAGGAGGGAGTGGGGCATCCATGCAGGGCCTGGGGACGTCTACCTCCACATCCTCCACACCCTCTCATGCCCAGGCCTAGGTCTTCTGAGGGACAGGGCCTCAGCGTCATTCTAGTCTTCAGATGTCTGCAGGAAAACAAGTCAGAAGTGTTTCATTCACGTGTTGACCCTAGGGCACAGAATCTACTGAGGCAGGCACATCTGCCAAATGCTCAGAAAGATCTTTAAGGAGCAAGTCTGGGGCTGTTTGGAGTTAACCCTGAATCTAAAAATTCTTGAATAACTGTCACTTTCTGTGTACTTACTACATGTTAGGCCCTGTACTAGGCATGCAATGCTCTCTAATTGTTTCAATCTTCACAGCAACCCTGTGGAGTAGAAACTACTATTATTCTCATTTTACAGATGGGCAAACTGGTACCCAGAACTCAAATTCACTGGCCCAAAGTCAGGCAACGGGTAGGTGGCAGCGTTGAGATGTGAACACAGGCTGACTAAATCTCAGTTCTTGACGCGGTTGCCTGTGCCCTCCACGCCTCCCTCAGACATCCTGTTGGCCAGCATTTGGTTTCCTTGCCCCTTCAGGGTGGAGGGCAGGCTGAACAAGCAGGTCTTGAGCCCTGAAAAGGGTGTTGGTGGGTTTAGATTCTCCTTATCTGGTGTGTGAGGCAAACTTCTGAGACCACACCAACTCCGAGGAATGGTCCTGCTGGGCAGACTTAAAATACACGGGTCAGCCGGGCTCGGTGGCTCAGCTTGTAATCCCGCGTCTTTGGGAGGCTGAGGTGAGTGGA